GATGATGGTGGTGATGATGATGAAGAGGACGCCGACGCTGACGATGATGATGATGATGGTGATGATGGTGATGTTGATGAGGAGGAGGAGGATCATCATGATAGTGTTGTTTCTGACAGCGACGACAAGCAATATTCCGCTGCTTCGCATTCTCGTGATCCTAAAGCCTTTGCATGCTGCACTTGTCTGCAGCCAAGCGTCTGCCTTTTGCTCCTTCACAACGGAGATGCCCGGGGGCGTCACACCATGCTGAAGCGACGTGACGAGCATCGGGAGGAGCAGGCTGCACTTGCCCATGCGGCAAATGCCCGACAACGCTGCCATGAGGCGTGCCGCAAATGCCACTCTTAGTATCAGGTGGAGTTGCAGCTCGGTGGCTACACAGCACCACACAGGACACATCGGGAGCCGAGAAGGCACGGGATGCAAGGACTTCTGAGGGTGCAGAGAGGGTCATGCGCGAAGCCGTCCACGACATTTACCAGTGCATGCAGGTATGTGAGCTGCAGTGCCATGCACAACGGTCACTAATCCTAGTCGGCCTCCGCATGCAGGACCTTCTTGAGGGGCACTCCTGTCGTGTCGGAAGAGCGTTACAGGCTGCGTGCTGGGGAGGTTTGGTGTCTGCTGGGATTCCTGGGCGCTTGCTCAAGCACAAGTTTCCTCAGCTTTGGGTCTGGATGCGGGGGTTCCGGATGCAAGTTGGAAGTCCGAAGGTCAGCGGTCAATGCTGACACTGATACGGAAGTGGCCGCGATTCATAGTGCTGAACATGCTTCAAGAGCCTGAAAGGTGCATATGCTTGGGGAGGACTCATGGGTTGCCACAAATCATGATGTCCTCCTCGCGTCTGCAAACCACCAAACTGAACGAGAATTGTAGAAACAGGTGGCCCGGTCGAAAGTGAATGAGACTGCACCATACTGCACCCCTGCGTCCTCAGCAACTCTGCTGCTGCTTCAGGTAAACATCCAGCAAGGCCAGCTCAAACGCGTCACCCTCCGTCTCCTCGTCAAGACAGCTAACGGCTAACGGATGTCAATCGTTGGAGCAGCAGTTGCTCTGCTGACCTGGACCCTACCGAAAATACGAGCAATCATCCGCCGAGGCCACAGGCCTCCGGCGTCTTGAGGTTAAACTAGGTACCCTCTACCTAACCCTCCTACCTGCAGCCCAAAAGTCTTGTGACATGCATTTGTTGGCCACATTTTCGAGCTCCCGCCCCGGCTGGCCCCTCCTCTCACAAATTTCACCTGCACTTCCCCCCCCCCCATTTTGGCCCATTTCAAACAGTTTTCCCCTCCACAGAAAAGCTGTGTTTCTCAACCTTTTCCCTATCTCTCTCATCTTGTTGTCTTGCGGAACTCACAGGCCCCTCTACCAAATCCTCATTTGCAGCCCAAAAGTTTGGTGACGTGCGCTTCTTGGCGACAGTTTCCACACCCCCACCCCGGCTGGCCCCTGTTTAGGCTCAGTACCCCAAACAGCTAGCAACACACACAAGCAAGCAGTGCAGTAGCACTCGTTCCTTCCCATCTTCATCCATTCATTCCTCCACAACCTTTCCTGGCCCCCCTGCTCCCCTGCTTCTTCTGTGTTGTTTTTTCCTTTCTTCCCTACCTCTCTCCCCTTGTTCTTTTACGGAACTTACACGCTTGCACTCGCCTCACAGGCCCGCGGCCCTCTGCTACCTAATCCTCCTCCCTGCAGCCCAAAAGTTTGGTGACATGGGCTTTTTGGCCACAGCTTCGACCCCCCACCCCGACTGGCCCGTTCCCTCCCATCTTCATCCATTCCTTCCTCCGCTTCCCTCGCCACTGTCGAGCCGAGGCGGGCTGCGTAGCGTTAGAATTATATTGCAACTATGGGCTGAACCAAGAGGTCCTTGCTGCTCCATTGGAAATGGTGCCGGAGCTCGAGGACTCTCCTGGCTCTGACATAGTGGTCCCCGCATGTAGCATTCATATATTAGTTATGAGCACGAAACCAAGAAGTGTGAAGCTCCTATGTTTAAACAGATACATTCCAGGAGCCCTCTCCTGCCAAAGTGAGGGCCACTGACAGGTACGGTCATCACGTCTGCCAACAAAGGCTCCCTGAAATGAAAGGTCCCTATCAGCAGTACAGAGGAGCGCAGTCCGGGAGAAATTCAATGGGAGTTAGGAACCGTATACATCCTGAATTTCCTGAACTGTAATGTTTGTGGTTCTGATTTCAAGGACCCCGAAGCGGAACATTGACTAAGATTAGACAGCATAGAAAGATCAGATAAGGATAAGATAGATGGTTAGATAGGTTAGAGATGTTAGAATAACTAGACGGGTTCGGTAAAAGACGGATTGGACAGAGATGGATGGATGGATGGATGGATGGATGGATGGATGGATGGATGGATGGATGGATGGATGGCTGGCTGGTTGGGTGGGTGGGTGGGTGGGTGGGTGGGTGGGTGGATCGATGGATCG